AAAAAAAAAAAAAAAAAAAGCAAAACAAAAATGACAAGCATTACATACAGTAGAAGAAATTGTTTGCATTCCCAAGACAGCTGTACAATTTGTTGACGGAACCACACCACACTGTGGCATGTTCAAGTCTAGTAATTAATGTCTCAGCAGTTATATTATTTTACATTCTGTGGACATGGGTACATAAGTATATTTTCCTTTGGAGCATTTTGGTATAATTTCTCTTAAGCCATTTTACTTTTATACACTTATACACTATAAAAACACTTTCTCAGAGTCTATGTGCCTTAAATCCAAAGAGCAAAACAACAACAGCAACAACAAAGCTCACATAAAACAGTCTCTAATTGAAAGGCTAAACATAAAAAATTACAATAATCAACAAAAAAAGCATTATTATTTTTTATGTGTATGTCAGTTGAGAAGAAAACCAGCAAACATTACTGTATGTGAAGAAGGTTACAGGGAGATTAATCTGTCTACAACACATGCAGCCGTCAAACGAGCATCTGTGTCGCTGTCCCAGCAGTCTGTCAGCAGCTCCTTCACTCCAGCTCCCTGAGAAATGATTAGCAGCCAGTCAGCTTATGTTACTGCTGATATCCAGCCAACACTACAGCAACGGGCTGATGAATACCTGCGGGAGCGCTTTCCAATTTTCAGGTATGGATGGTCTCCTGTCCATCTCAGACACATAGAGGATGAGCCTCTCAAATGTAACATTGGCTTCCAGCTCCAACTCATAAGGCAGAAGATGCTGTGGAACAGCGCCCCCTGTAGATGGAGATGTTTGCACACTGACGTTAACCTAATCTGTGGTCTGTGGAGAAAATGGTTTGTTTGCATAAAATGTGAAACATGCAATGTGGAAAACAACACTTCATTTGCAAATGTTTCATCAAAGTGTCTCTTTTTTAGAGCACCATCCTAAAAGTAGCATAACATCAAAGATAATATATCTTTAGAATAGACTTTTATCTCTAGGAGAATAATTTAACATTCTCGTAATGTCTTAGACTTTTATAAGATTAATGAAATAGTTTAGATATGAGAAGCTGATCTATTAGACTCTCAGCTCTGTGAGACGTTTTGGAGTGCCACCATGTGGTCCACATTCAGAGGCATCAGTGCCTCATTTATTAAGGATTTTAATCTACAGAGCTAAACATAAAAGGAATAGTTCCGTATATTTAAACTGAGTTTCACCTAAAAGGAAATAAGTAGTTTATATCATTCATGCAGTTTATATATTTCCTGATGTCTTCTACAACTTGAAGCTAATGGCTTCTGAAAGAGGGAGCAAGGCCAAAGAGAATCACCGTCATCTCAAAAGAAGATGTCCAAAAGAACAATCCACAATTTTTCTGAACTTTTATCATTAAATTTGACTCTGTTATCACATTTGCATGAGTCTTTATTAGGTAGAAGCTAACCATTATTTACTCAGGAAATGGTAGTAGGATATCATGCATAACCCATGACCGTCCCGTATCAAACACAAAAGTGACACCAGGACATGTAAATAAATGTAGAAGGTTTAAAAACAGAGTTTTATTATGTTGAGTTGTTTAAATATCCTGAAAGTTGTTTTTGATTTTAGCCTCCTCTGTAAAAAATACACTAGATCCACCCTCCAGTGCTATTTAATCCAGATTTATATTAAATCAAGCTGCTATATTTATATGTTATTATATATTATATATTTTATTTCTTAGTGCTTGAAGCTATTTATTTTAATTGCAGTTTGATGCTGTGACCACTATTTAGACTGTATACATCTACATTTCCTAACTGTGTTTTTTAAACTGTCCCACATGAGTCAGAGACATAAAATGATCTGAGCAGTGAAAACAATGAATGATCTACTTCTATATGGTGTTCAAATAAAGGAGGTCATATAGAACATTTTGACCAATTATCTTCACAAATTGACATTTTAATAAAGACAAAGATGAGATAATATTAATTAGGACCAAAAATTAAAAATACTTAAGATACCAGTGGCTTACCTGGAAATAAATCAGAGCAGCGCATCCATACCTCCCACAAAATCAGACCCAAGGCATAAATGTCCCCCTGCAGCAGATATGAGCTGCTGCTGAGATTAACAGAACCCTCCAAGATCTCCGGGGACATGTAGTTGAGTGTGCAAAACTGAGGGTGACGCTGGAAAAATGTGAATATGCATGTTTGATTTTAGAGTCCTTATGTGTTACATGGTGTTACATGTCATAAATCTTTTCAGTCGAGCATCCTTCACATTACTTCATTTTGCTGTTTGACTTCAGATTCCAAACAAAACATCTCACCTGCATGTTTGTGGTGTGGTCCTGCCAAAAGCGATGTCCTGAACAAGAACGCAGTATAGTGGCGGATCCAAAGTCACTCAGGACGCAGGTCCAGTCAGCTCTCACCAGTACATTGGAGCTGCTGAGGTCTCTGTGGGCAACGGGAGGTTTGTGCATGCCTTTTCAAAAAAATAAAAATTAAAAAAGTCAGACAAAGCTTTAAGTTCAGTTTCATTTTTTGAGTGTTTTTAATTACATTTCCCTTGAATGACATATAATGGGTGAGCGGTAGCCAGTAGAATGTCGGGTAAGTATTAAAATACTCCATGTCTTTTCATCAAATACTGTCCCTCCACCAATGAGATTCAAGTTTGGGCAGTGAGGAACCCAAACCTAACACTTCTATGTGCAGCACAGTTTATTATATCCTTATTGTAGGCAACAGCACTAAAAGAAGCAAGAAAAAAGCATATTTCCTTGTCATATAATTTCCAGAAATTAGATGACATTCTGTTAAAAGAGGAATTATATATCTTGAGTCATTGTAACCTGTAAACTAAACTGGATTTGCAGGGTTTCTAAGCCTTGCTCCATCCCCACTGCCTTAAAATAACTGTTTGAGGTGATACAAACACAGTTCAACTTAATGTCTGCAAATACCATCCAACTGTACTGTTTTTTGCACACCCTGTGTAAAACAAATTTACTCTTTCTGAAGTAGAAATCCATTATTCGTCACACATGTTTTTTTGTTCTTTATTAGCAGTTTTTATTACAGCTATTGGTTAAAGGAATGCTTATGTACCTTCAAATCTAACTCTCACAGAAAAAGATTGCTACTAAAGGGACATGCAAACACATTTTTGTGGTTTATGATGTTGGCCAGTACCATTGCTGTGGTGGTCAGAGTGAAGATAGGAAAGTCCCTCCGATAAGGTTTGGCAGAGCTTCATGGACAGCATCCAGCTGCTGGTGTGTTTACACAGAAAAGAGTGAAGAGAACCCTGAAATCAAAGAAAAGTTTGCCGTCCAAGACTAAGTGTGAGAAGTTTGACAGCCTGAGCAACAGGCATAAAAGTCAGTATAAATCCAGCTTTCTATCCATAGAATTTAAACTTTTTGCATCAACAGGAATAGGAGAAAGAAAAGAAATATGGGTTACAGAAACATCCTTGTTTCAATTTAAATATTAGAACTTATTTACATTCGGTAGAAAAGGTTTTTTGTTTTTTCATCTAGCAGTAGCTGGCTGAAAAATATGCATCAGTGTTCCTTATAGTTATATATATCAACATGATTCGCATTATGGATGTGCTGTTGACAAATCTGCAGTATCTGCCTGATCCTGTCATGTCAATATGGACCAAACTTTCTGGGGAATGTTTCCAGTACCTTTTTGAAGCTATGCTAGAAGGATTAAGGTTGTTATGATGGCAAAAGGGGATCCAATCTAGTCATAGCAAAGTATATCTCATAAAGTAGCAGGTGTATAAATAGGTTAACAATAAAGGGAATTTTCCAACTTACATATTCAGCATATTGAAGCACAATAAGAAGGCTGCCATTGTCTGGTTTCCTTCCAGTGCCTAAGAACTTGACGATCCCCTCATGCTTCATCAGTGGAAGCTCATAAACCTCCTTTTCCTTGATGAACATATGTTTCCAGTTTGCAGGGTACACTTTAACAGCCACCACTGATCCCCTCTGCTTCGCTTGATAAACAGATGCAAAGTGCCCCTGTCCCAAAACCTGTACGGTAAAAAACTTTAAATAATCAGAACATTACATCATGGTTTAACAACACCCATACAGTCTAATGGAAAGGACTTACCTCCTGTAGTACAATGTCAGGTATCTGGTTTTCTGAGGCTTTTATTTGACAGGAACACAGTGGTTGAACATTATAGTCATGACAGGAAGGTTGCAGAGGATCCTCTAAAAAATATACATCAAAAATAAAAAATTTTAAACACACATATGTATTTAATATTTTAAAACTGGCTTTACTAAACATCTGCTGGGATGTTAGGAAAGACAAGTGAAGATAAAGGGGAGTTATATTGCAGAGATAAAGACCAAGGTCAGCATTAGAAGAGAATGAAAGAAACCCAAGGTTGAGCGGAGACATGAAACTTCATTGTTAGATAAAAAGTTCAAAGAACCACTGAGGAATATTTTCCTTCCCTTTCGTGTGAAATAACCGAGGTTTTTCTCTCTCTTTTTTTTACTAAAATTGCCCAACAAAGTGCAGCTCTGTGTTACTTGTTTAAAGAAACAGACATGAATCTTAATCTGAGGTTTTAGTTAAACAAATGTAGCAATAAGCCAGAAACAGCTTTATTTTCTCTGAAAAACAAAAATAAGAAGGACAGTAAAAACACTTGGAATAGAGAAAACTGAAAAATATTTAGAAAAAAAAAACCACACTTCAAGTGATTTTGCTATATTCTTTTACAGCATCTTAACATTAAATGCTCAGTTGTACTTGAAAGTTTACATACCCTCCTATTATAGAAAAAGATTAATTCATATTAGTAATTGAAATAACATAATATATATATATATATATATATATATATATATATATATATATATATATATATATNATTTTATACAATTCACATAAAGGAAATGTTCAGTCAGACTTCTGCACATGCTGACAGGTATGTTGATTCACTGTTCATGAGCAAGGCACTTTAATTTGTCTGAGAATTTGTTAGAATTATTTTCTTAATAAAAATTCAAGATCAATATTATACTCTAATAAAATATCAGAGCTGAGTGTTATTACTATGAAGAGAAGTTCTTTAACCCACCAAGAATTAAGGTTTTTCATCACTAACAGCAAAGCAGTTTTTCATGCTTAACATTGCACTAATATACATAAATTAATTCATGTCTTCACCTCTATGACATAGAATTTGAGATAAAGTGTTTTTATATCATCAGTATTGCATTATTGTGGGGGAAAAAAAGACATAAATTAAACACCTTATAGAGAATACATTTGAAAAAAATCATACATATTAGTTGAGTTACATAGCATTCTAAAAAGAATTTTTAAAAAATCAGTATTTGAATATATATGTGGTGTGTTTACATATACCTACAATGCATATATCTTACTTTTTATCTTACTGGGATCAACAACCTGGGTTCTGATTTTTTAGGGGTTATCACTGTAAAAAAAATCCACCATTAAACCTCATTAGCATATGAAGCAGTCCTTAGTCAGATTGGCAACTGTTTTTTTAAAGTCGATGAGAAACATTAAGGTGATTTGATGATTTTTATACAGAATCATTAGGAGGACGCTTCGGTTATGACCAACAACATAAGACATTTTCTCGGTGTTCCAAGTCTTCTGGACTCAGTTGTCCCTGGCCATGTTTTATCAAGTAAACAGCTTGAGGATAAAGTATTTTATTTCTCTATATTGAACTTACAATGAAACATTGTGGGTCTGTGAAAAAAATATTCCCTCTGCAGTGTTGGTTTTATCTTATTTGAATTTCATTCTGTTAGTTGACATGTTTCCAAAAACAACATTTTGAAACAAAAATTGTCCAGAATGAACAAACTTACCTTTTTTCTTGCCAAGGTTTTTCCATTTGGTAGCAATAATCACGAGGACAGTAAAGAACAGAATCACCACCAGCACTGTTATGAATTTAGCTATAAGAAAATAAAGAGCATAACTTCAAATAAGAGCAAATCAATATATTTTTTCATTAGTCAGAAAAAAGATAAATTTCATGTAAAAAGTAAAGCTGAGTTTTGTCCTTAAAATAAATTAACTGGTGATTGCTGCTTTCAGTCAATACCTGCTGTGTAATGCTGGGTTACTGGAGGCTGTTCTGTTTCTGGACTCCATGTGATTTTTCCGTTGCACAGGTCTGTTCTGCATGTACATTGAATGTAGGGATCTATGAAGTGTGGTTTCGCCCTGCAGGTTGCATCAGGGCAAACCATGTTTGCTATGCCACATGCTAAAAATAACAGAAAAAAAAGAAGAAAACAATAAAAAACAATAAAAAGGAACGCTCTTTGTTTTCTAAATAATTTCTTTACATTCATTTGCTTTTGGATACTGAATCAAAGAACCTTTAAAGAAAATCTTAATTTAGCTTTTATGAGTTAAATAAGTTTATGATTCTCTGATCTGGACATGTGCCATCTTACCAAGAGTGTCAACCTTTGGCTGGCCATTTATGATTTGAAAAATGGCCAAACAGCAGTCAGTTTTATCACAGAGCTGCTCGGAGCCACTCACATTACCAGCAGAGGAGTATTTGCTGTCCGTCACTTGGTAAACACAGAGTCTCTTCTCGAGCAAGGACTGGTGAACCATGAGCATAAAGAGAAATTCTAAAATCAGAAAGAAAAAGCCTGAATTAATAACTAAATAAGGTTTTTTTGAATGAAAAGTGAACATTATTTGTTTTTTAAAAATACATGAGGAAATAAAACCAGATGCTGCTTTTTTAATGTGTTTAAATTCTTAGAACTATTGATTTAAACAAATTTTTTAGAGCACTGTGTCGTGCAAAGAGCAGTGATATGATGCACATGATGTATTAGTTTTATCATGCAAAACAGGTTAAAATGAATGAGCAGAGATTTAAAAGCATGCAGCTAAAAAGTTATAAAGAGGGAAAGAATTTTAGTTCACTCACCCAAAGCAAGAACGGAGTGCAACTGCTTCATGCTGGATCAGTATCAGACTGGAAGCTGGAAGTATCCTTTTTGGGAATGTCAGAGGAGTTTCCCACGTTTGCCATCATCACTCCCACTGATACACCTGCACCGTTATCCTTGCAGAAGGACACTGGTTCTGGTTAAAGAGACTCCCGGTGTGTCTACCTTACAGTTGTTATGGGAAATTCACAAAAAGAGAATTTCACAGTATGATTTTTTTTTTTTTTTTTTGCAACAAAGAAGATGTAAGGACTACACAATTTAAAGGTGTTTAAAGGATGCAGCTGCAAAAAGTGACCTGAATATGCTTTTATTAGTTTTCTAATTTGTACTCAAGTTTTCTTGAAGATGTATTTATTTCTGTTACTTCTATTGAATGAGCAGTCTTTTATGTTATTTTGTACAGAAGCAAATACTGTGGGTTCATAGAGCAAATGAAACAAACATCACCTTTTACCAAAGTGAGTATTCATCTTTGGAGGTAATCAGCAACTTAAAAACTTAAAACTTTATCCCTTTTTTCTTTACTTGGAAAATGGCAAAATTTGATAATAAAATCAAGATTAAAAAAAACAAATACTACAGCATAAACATGAATAAACATTTATTAGCAGGAGGGTACAGGGATAACATTTAAAAGACATGAGCTGTAGCAGTTTTAATCCTTTCAGAGTAAATTTCTGTTAAAAAAAAACAAAAAAACAAAAACAAAACCTATTTACATACACAATAACTCAACATTGCGTGATGCATTCATATGTGACTTCCTGGCACTATTGGGGAAAACACACAATAGTGTCAAAAATTCTGTATTCACAGTGTTTATTAATGATACTAATCACAGTTGCAGCCATAACAGTATCAACACTTTTAATAAACCAGAGGGCTTTGGAGTCTGCTAATGAGATTTTATTTTATTTAAATTTATTTTTTTGCCTTCATTTGTAGAGTCAGACACTGGTGTCTGACAGGGCAGCCTTTTGCAGTCTCTGGTCTAATTTAGTCCAAATCCTTTCTTGTGAGTTGAGGTCTCGACTTTGTGAAGGCCAATAATCTTCGTCCACATACGACTTGCTCACAAATGACTTGAAGATCCTTGGTTTGAATCTTGGTGCACAACTGTATTTAGAAAAGAAGGAACCATACCCAGACTGTTGTTATCTGTTGTTGGTTGTTATCGGTTGTTATCTGAGGGACACTTAGTGTTCACTCTTAAATATGGTGAAGACCTGTGATGCTGTTGACCTCTTTCAAAAGCTTTGGAACTTCATGGCAACAGAGAATCCTTTGAAACATCAGGACATTGGGAGAAAAAAACATTTCTAAAAATTAGTTGATCGTTTTGCTCTATTAGCGGGATACACAATCATAAAACTTTCACAAATTAACAGAGAAACTATTTTTCAAACACAAAATTAATATCCATCACAGTTTAAAGACTACACTCCAAAATAAACTTTAGTCAATTTAGTCAGTCTGTGTAAATACGAATGTTCAGAGATCCTTTATCTGTATTTTGTTGTGAAATTGCAAATGAAAATACAAAGAGCTCTTCCTGTTTGAAAATACTTGTTCATATACAATCAGAATAATCTCTTTAAAACAATAAAATTACTGTTTTAAAAAATATATAATAGAAAGATTTTATTGTCGTAATGATCTTAGCACTGATGACTGGCTTAATTATTCATTCCATTTACCTGTCAAACTATGCCCAGTTTTTCATCTCATCTTATCCACCTGCTCCTGCCTCTATTCAAGCTGCTTGCTCCCAATTATCAGAGCCTAATTATTCTTGTTTACTCCAGCCTGCTGTGAGAGGGTCCTTGGCATTACCTTAGTGTTTCTGATTTCCTGATCCTGACCTGTTCTGCCTCTTAACCACGGAGCCTGGCTGTCCAGTCTGAGCTATTCTGCTAATCTGTCTCCTGCTTGCTTTTCAGGGCTGCAGCATCTGAGACACTCAGGGCAACACCTGCACAGACTAAACTTCTAAACCAGGTTAGTGACTCACGTCCATTATCTTCCTCTGTTAAATTTACGTGGTCACTAACCTGTGTTTCCTTCTGCAGAGTTTTCTGTTATAGACGCGCTAGACGCTGCTACTCTGATTCTCTGGTTTTAAATAATAATTTTGAGTAATCCCACTGTCTCTCTTGCCTGAAAACAGTTTCCTCTGTTCTGAATCGAGACAAATATTTCTTGACAAGCGGTGATAATAAGTTACGAATACACCTTATTTAACAAAAAACTTCTTATCTTATCCTGAAACTATAAATTTAGTGTAAAGCTTCGAAAAGGTTTTAATCATCTGCTTTTGTGCTGATGAGTTTTACAAACGTTTAGGTGAAATAAACTATTCTGTAAGCCTAGAGTTAATTTACTCTTTTTCCAAATGCTACAATGATTCAGCTGAAACAAACTTTGTTAGGACAGAAGTTTACGCAGTTGCTACCTACACATTTCAGGCCCACACAATGTTTCTCAGTGTCATAAGGGCGTGCGTCAGGGTGTGAGGAGGTCCCGAGGATTGAGGTTAGCCACCAGGCAGACATCATAGCTGTCATGCATCGCTGCTCGTCTCTCCACGACTGTCCACACATTGTCTCTAGGGTCCAACTCTAAAATCTCTTTCGTGATGATCTCATGACGCCCTGCAATGAACATATTGACCCAAATCTAATTTACAGAAACACAATTTCATTAATCACCTTAAATTCCTGAATTCTGATGCAACTGGAATGCAGCAAGCAAACTCCACTCTTTTGCAGAGGCAATGCAAAATGATTGGCAAATGACACTAACCGACCCCTTTGTAGTATCCGCAAAGGTAGAGCTTTCCTTCTACCACTCCTAAGTTGGAGGCATTGGTACGGAGGGAAAGTAAGGTTGTAGGGAGTGTTGGACCTGGCCTCCAACTGTCTGTATCTGGGTTGTATATCTCTACAGAGCTGAGACAGCGTCGTGATTGTCCACAATCCTCACCATCACATCCTATTCCACCTGTAAAATATACAAAAAAACAAAAAAAACCTGCATAAGGAAAACTTACAAATAGCATTATTATAATTTAATTCCATTTGACCTTTTACTCTTTCTAAATTGCTCAG